GACTGTGAAAACCAGTCTTAGAATGAGAGACAAAGCACCAGTGWACTGCATGTTGAAGATGCCTATTTTAAATGGAATAGGAATGAGCCATAGATTTTTCCAGGACCAACATTATTGTAATCAAGTAACCTAATGCTGATTAATGTATTAATTAATGTATTAACTTGCTTTAAGCTAATGTGAGTGCAGGTACAGTGTCTCAAGTTCCTGGAATTGAAGCAGACAGTTCTTACACCAAAAAATATTCTATGGCCTACAGCAGCACATGTTTACAAAGCTGATGCTTTCAGGCTGACCAAAAGCTTAAAAATGCTGCAAGGACAGTGAGGCAGAATAGTTTTCAACATTCTTGTGGTTTCCCTAAGTGGGTTATTCTTTTAGCCCAGGAGCAACAGCAGTATCCTTTACTTCCTCACTGCCTGCAGTACACTCCTGTGCATCTACTCCTTGGGCCAAAAAGGACAAATCTAAGGGAGAAAATGAGTGCTGACTTTGAAACACAATGTTTCAGGGCAGCTTGGGAAGAGCTTGAATGGCTCAGGGCGTATTTTCAGCAGTCATTGAAAGAACTTGAGAAAAAGATGCAGCCCATGCTTTGCTGTCAGAAAAATCAGGTTAGACATTGCTTCTTTGAAGGTAATCCTCCAGGAAAAAATGCCAAAAATATCCTGAAAGGTCACGCCAGCAACTTTCACTGCCTGTGAATTTAATCACAAGAGCCAGATACTCATGCTTAACTATCACCTTCTCTGGCTAGAGGAAGACAACAGACATTTTGCAAGTGGATGCTTTACATCCCTGTGTCAGAAAGGTCATGATGTTYCAGTAACTGATCATGCAACATTTTAACAGCTTCTTGCATTAACTAAGCTGAAAGTTAAAATACAGCAGAAACTGTTCATCTCTGCATACTCCATGCTGAAGATTTAGGATTTTCTCAATGTGCCTTTTAACAACCTGAATGGAATGAGAAGGGATTCCTGTTTTTTTTTCAAGACACAGGGCAAACAAAAGAGGTACTAGCTGTGAAGGGAGCAATAACAGATTTTCTCCCCTTCTTTTTCTTTTTCTGAACTCTTACTGCCTCCCATCACAATTTCTACATTCCCAGCACCTGGACTGGCTGCTCTCTAAAAGGCTGCAGCGTGTAACTGTTCAAACACTCTGCTCCATCAAGACTGATCGAGGATCAGCTGCTCTAAGGTCAGCCTTGCTACAACAACCAGTGTCACAATGAGCTGCAGCTCCAAATCTGCTCATGGGAGAAGGCTGTGTAGTAATAAGTGCTTTGGCAATATAGATCTTCCCGAGTTTCACAGCAATCAGTGCCACCCACACAGCATAAGGCACTTATGTGACAGGTGAATCACTGTCTCTCAGTGCACAGAGGACGACAGAAGCAAAAATTCTGTGCCTTCAGAGCCTCAAAAGCTACAGAACAGCTRCAAAGCCATTCTCAGGCTGCAGAACTGGGTCAGAGAACAGGGACATTTACTTTGAATTAATGCCTGTGTGCCAACTTTTATACTTTGTGAAGTTCTTTGTGAAGTTCTGTCTCAAGGATGAGCATGAAGGATCATCTCAGTGGAGAAGGAGCAGGAGCTGTGTCTGGGCTGTGTTAACTGGGCTTCAGAGCTAACAAATCTATTGGCAATAAAGTCCTATTTAAGCTGTACCAAAGTAAGATCAACTCATCCACTCCACATTAATTTAGCAGTGGCAAGTGAGCCCATAGTGYAGTTTTTCTGTTTGATTTATTCAAAGCTATTCCAGGTTCTGATTTAGAGACGTAAGAATAAATTCCAACAGGAAAAGTGCGCATTCATGGAATGCTCACAAACACAGGAATCATCTGGTGACCAGCAGCTCTCAGCTCTTCTCTTCTTCTATGACCCAATTTCTCCCAACTGTTTTTCACTTCTTCGTTTAATCCCATTTTCCTCAAGGAAGGTTAWTTAAACTTGAAGGTGAATTAAACTGAGCAGCTTGCTCTCTTCCAAGAGCTTTGAAGCATTACACCAGGAACATTTCCCATTTTTCATGCTGACTTACATTTTGCTGTAGTTAGACTGTAATACAAATCTGAAATATTGGCATTTTTAGGCTGATAGCCTTCAAAGCTGTAGCTCAGCACAGCAGGAACTGCAGTGTGGACATAGAAGAATTATTAAATGAGAAGCAATTAATGTATATTTAACAGATCCTCTTATGATTTGGAGTCCAACAAAGCCCTTTGGAAACTGGAAGGAGAAGCATTCCCTTGGACATGTCACAGCAGCAGCAACTGTTTAAGTATATCTTCAGGGCAGTGAAGGAAGCAGCATTTCTCCTCACCTACTCATAAATCAAGCTGTAAAGTTGGTGAGTCATGGGCAGAGCTACTTAAGAGATGTTCTGGCRGTTTAGGAAAGTTACAGGAAAAAATTCTTAAAAATTGCATATGTAAATCTGTCCCTGCCATTTAGGGATAACTGACAAAATTTCTTAAGTTTCCATAAGTAGAAATGTCAATCACAATAAATACAACTTGAAATCTTAATCAAGGACTTCATTCTATTTCCTAAACGTAATTTGACGTGTGTTGCAACACCATATCCATTCTGTTTTCAGGTCAGAGAAATGAATAAACCCAGACAGTTTCTCCACATCCGTTTTTACACTAATGAAGTCCTTTTCAGTTACCACCAATTAACACGTTTGGATATGGGACAGAAATATAATTTTGTCAGTTGGGTGAAGTTCATTGAATTTAAAAAATATCTGACACTCAGCAGGTGGGAAGGTGGGGACAGATGTTAAAATGCAAATGAAATCAAAGGAGGAAAAAAGAATCCTTTAATTTCTTCCATTTTTAAGCAGCAGCAAGCCCACATTCTCCCTTGCCAACACCATACATTACAGTAAAGAAGTCAAATCAGAATATTAAGAGTTCATAAAGCAAACACACTTCACCTGTAGGCAAGTTAGTGCACTGCTCTTCATTCTTTTACATGTTAATACAGAATAAGTATAGTATATAAAACAAATTAAAAATTGCAAATACAGTCAGTCTACAGTAATTGCAATTATATTTGGAAATCCTGAATGGCTGCAATTAGATTTTACTCTGAAAAAAGTAAGCCATTTTCATTGTTTCAGTTGATTTTGGACCATGAATCCTGACAAGTCACACCTGAATATTCATATCATATAAGATATGGAGGTACAATGTGGTATCAATATGAAATATTACACTATCAGCCATTTAAAATTAAGAATTGCCGACTCTGAAAGAAGTTTATGGAAAGACAAAACTAGAATCCCTCATTTGACTAATTCAGAAAAGTCTGTTTTCATATCATATTGTCAGTAATGCTACAAAAAGACAGAAAATTTGTCAGCTAGTAGATTAGATAGACTTCTCTGAATTTTCTCTGTAGAAATAAATGAAGAAACTTCCCTGTCCCTTTCAATAAACCTTGTGTAGAAAAAAAAAAAAAATTAATGATTAACTTTTGCTATGCAACACCTGAATAATCCACTACTGTCACTGATCTTGTTCCCTGTTATCACTGTCCACCAATGACAATTTTCAAAAGAACATTTATGTTACTTCCACGAGAATTTCATGACACGGGTCAGTGCAGACCAGTTTCTCTGAAAGTAAAACCACAATGGACAAGATGTTTTCAACTTCCTAGTGCCAATATCCATATCCTAAGGTTCATGACAGCTTTCTGTCAGAGGGGGCTTGTGGTTGATTATTTAATGTGCCAGGGGATATATCCATGGGATTACGACAGATTTCTAGATCTGTGTAATCTCTCTGTTATCAGTTTCTGTTTGATTAAATCAGAATGAGTTTAACAGAATCAGGGGGAGAAATATATCAAAATCARGAACTAAGTCCTAATACCTTTTGGAAGGAATGAAAACTCAGATGTAAAGACAGCCTTATTTTCATTAACTTGATCCAAGGGTGRTACTATCAGATAAACCAAAGGTCAGATACAACAAAAACCTCTGGGTCAAAGTGAAACTCTGTAGCACCAGGAGCTTAGGGGMGGGACACAGGACAGTGATAAACAACAACTAACAAGCCATCTTGGAACATTTTCAAGTATTCCTGCAATGTGACTTTATTGGGTCTAAGTGCAAAGTGAAGTAATCAGCTTTAAGAGATTTCATTAGAAGCTGCAAACTCATCAGATCTATTCAGATTAAAAGTAATTTAGTACAATCTTTTAATTCCTTTTGGAAAAAAAGAAGTCTGACTTCAAGTTCCACATTTCCGTTTCTGAACCACATATAAAGAACAGGGTGTAATCGTCAATGCTGCATKTCTGTTAAAAAAATCTAAGAAATCACAGTATTCAGGAAATGAGGGTTTCATCTGAGATTCACTGAAGCCAGACTACAGTAGGCTTTTATACAAGTCTTGAGCTTCCTTTAGACAAAAAATACAGGGAAAAAGCACAGCTCTAATRTCCTTGGTGATGATTTAAGTATGTGCAATAAGCAACTGTGGATCTTTTTAGGTACCTTTTAAACCAGTAGATCTCCTCAGGATCTGCAATTCCATATTCCCTTAACTTCATCACCATCAAGGAGCTCTTCCTGATGGCTTGTTCATAGCGTTGGCTACGGGACAGGAAGTTCAAATCCTCRTGCTGGAAGTCAGGGTCATTTAGAACTAAGGCCTCTGGGGACAGAACAGAAGAGGAAAACAAGCTCAGTTTCCACAAACCTCAGCAGTGGGTGAGAAACAACCCAGCATTCTACCTGCTGTACCTCACGATAGAGGTATCAGAAAACTGAAAATAAAATTAGAAGTTAAGGAAATCAGAAAGAAGTCAAAGCTCTTTGAGAGCTTAACTCCCAGCATTCTCATTCCACACATTAACCCCATTTTCAGTTCAAAGCACTCWGGACTTGGCAGGAGGGCAATTCACTGATGTAAGACCTGCAGGCCCCTCAGCAACAGCCTCAGAGGCTCAGGCAGCCTCATGAACTCTGATCCCCCTGCAGAAGGGCACAGTTACCATTCCCACTGKGCCAACTGGAAACAAGATGCCCAGAGACCACAGACCTTCTGTGTCCCCACTTTGGCACTGAAGTTACACAACACCAGCCTCTGACAATCTCAGCCCAGGAGAAACTGGAAGTAGTTCATCAGTCTCTCATAACCACGGTCGTGCCGGGTGACAAACAGGTGACATTTGTACTGTCGGGCAAGAGCGTGCTAGGGAAGGAAAAAGGAGGGGACAGCGCCCAKGAGAAATGACCATGGGAAATCGCCTCTGACCCTCCGGAGGAAAATGAAACAGAGAAGTAAAAGGACATTGTTCTATTAGGGCCACCCTAAATCCTTTCTGGGAAGGGAAGAAGAGGGACGAACGCAGCTCCTGTTCCGCTTTAACCCTTGAGGTAAGACCTCCTTCCTTYACGCTGACCCTCCACCTGCAAACCSTCTCCTCACAGCTTTCTCCTCTCCTTGGGRTTTACCCTCTCCCCAAAAGTTCCTCCACAACCCGTCCCGCCYCACGACCCCATGACAACTTCGTCGTTCCTCACCCTCCCCGGGGCTCCCCACCTCTCTGTATCTCCCCGGAGATCTCCCCTTGGGTTCCCCCCACCACGCAGCCTCTCCCCTTCCCATCCCCGCACAYCCTTCTCCTCCTCGGAGCCCTGACSGGCGCTGTCTCTCCCCGTCCGCACGGCCCGGGCCCTCCCTCACCGATCTCCTTGCGGCGGCGGGTGCGCTCGGGGCCGCCGTCCAGGATGTGCGTGAGCAGCGCGGGTTGGAAGGTGGCGGAGGCGCGCTCCTTCCGCAGGTCCGCGTTCACCGACATCGCGGCGGCGGCTGTGCCCGATCCCAGTCTCAAACCCAGCGTCAGTCCCGATCCCGATCCCGATCCCGTCCCCGCTCCCGTCCCCGTCCCGGTCCCGGTCCCGGTCCCCGTCCCCGTCGCCGGCCCCGCCCCCTGTGACGTCACTCCCGCGACGCCACGTGGGTGCTGACCACGTGGGTTCGGCCCCGTGTCCGCCCTTCCCGCGGGAGGCGCGGCCGGAGCGGTGAGCGGAGCGTTCCTTCGCCCCGGGAGCGGTGCCTTAAATCGCGCCGTGACCGGGATGGGCGTGGAGCAGCGCGGGGAGAGCGCGCGGCACGTGCGGCATCGGCGTGGAGTGGTTAATTAAATAAACAGCTCATTAAATGCCGTTAGCGGGCGGCGTTTGTGCACGCGTTAAATGCGGTGTTGGATGGTGCTCTGGATTAGATAGTGCGGATAAAGGGCTGCGTTTGGGGCTGGGCCTGCCATGAATGTGCGTGCAACGTCCTGCAGCAGAGGTGGCACGTGCATTAAATAGCACATTGGGTRGGCACAGGGTGTGTGGCGATTGGTGTACGGCTTCTCCAACCTGAATGATTCTATGCGTTAAAAAGTGCATTAAATGCACKCTGAGCATGTTGCATCCCTGACTGATCCCACCATGCTTCACAGTGTGATTCAGGAGCACAACCTTCTAGAGGTGCAGAACTGACCCTGCTTTTCAAATTTTAGGTTTGGTGGGAATGTAGGGAGAGCTGCAGAAGGCAGGGAGGTGGATCTCCACCTCCGAGGCCCAGTTGAGACCCTGCCAGAGGGGTTTTGCAGCCTGCTCTGAGTGTCTACGGCCTGGCTTTCAGCTGTGATGYATCAGGCACAGAGTGAGATGTGTGGGGATGGGGTGAGCCAGGGTCATCCTGGTATCTGCAGCCTCCCACGGAGTCCTCAGTGGGGCATTTTGCAAGTTTGAACCCCGTGAGCAATGTGTGGGGTGGGCAAAGGACACTGAGCATTAAACCCACAGCGTATGTGTCAATGCAGTGTCCCCACTGCTGCGTAATCAATATTGGGGGTCCTTGAATCCTCTGCTATGGACCCACTTGCCTGAGTGACAGGAGTTTCTGCCTGGGCTGTTTTCCAGCTCTTGGGGTTCCCCTCAGAGAAGAAAAAAAACAGAGAAAAGCAGTAAATTGAACATGGRAACACTCCAAACGCAGGCAGCCGGCAAGGGAGATCAGAGGGAAAATAATGCCAAAAGAAATCACTTCAGGGCACAGCCAGGAGCCTGGCCATGACATTGACTGGGCAGGATTAGAACCTTGCCGAAGCTACTTTGCATTCCTGCCTTTCTGTGCTCTCTGTGCTGTGGCTGACTTGCCTGTGTCTGCCCTGCTCCAGCACTGGAGCTCCCAGAAAGTCCCACCTGAGCCTTGTCTTGGAATTAATCCTTCTCACTCATTGCTGTCTGCTAAACCCTGCCAGACTTCTGATTTAACCAGGTTGGCTTGGATCCAGTTTCTTGTTCTCCAGCTGCARGATCAGACATTGCCAGAATTTCTTATCCAGCAGTAAGAGAACGGGCTCTGGATCATTCTTTAAATCTGGCTGCATAGTACCCTGTGTAGTACCCTGTCACCAGATGAGGCTATCCCTGCATCTCATTCCCTCACTCTCTCTCTCTGAACTCCTCAGTCACCATTTGTCCCACTTTCTTAACCTTTCTCAACCCATTCGTAGTCTGGGGTGGACCTGGAGGACCTGGTGGGCTGCCTGTAGTTCATTCTGGGTCGTGTTGGGGCAGGTAGCTCCTCTTTGTGCCAGGATGCCCTGGGCTTGGCATGCATTGAGCTGCAAAAAGTATTCAGCAGGGAAAGCTCCTGCAGCCCCCTGGATGGTGGAACCTGGACAGGGAAGGTGTTGAAGGGCAGTGTCACTTACTTGGATCAGGTACTGGTGCAGCATGAAGTCAGACTTTTGCTTTACTGCAGGCCAGCTGTTGTGTGAGATGCTGCCGAGTGCTGGTGTTTATTATTTCCCGTGGGAGATCAACAGCTCAGTCCCCGAGGGGAGGACACTGAGGACGTTTGGCAGGTGAGAAGGGTACCCTGTTCTCCTTGCAGGCCAGGCCTTCAATGGCTGAGCACCCTCCCTTGGTTTGTAATTGGATCTCTGCACGGCTGAATTTCCCGAATTCATCATTCCCAGGTTATGCTGCTACGACCTGGCCCGATCTGAAGCCATTCTCACCACTCAGCACGACTCAGCTCAGTACCAAGTCTGTGTGGACACCAAGTTTGTGGAGCCATTCCAAGCCCAAGTGGGATCTTTCTACATGGTCCTGGGAGAGACTGAACACAGGGAAGGTAAATGCTTSAGGAACCCATGCYCTTTGCTGCTCTTCATGGTTCATCWGTTCCTTTGGGGCTGCCTGGGTCACTGAGGGCAGCGTGGGCCAAGGCAGCTCCTCTCGTGCAGCTCTTTGAGTCACACGARTGTGTGATTCAAGGTAGGAGCAGCCTGTCTGTCCCTGCTGACCATGAGAAGAGCCACCCTTACCTTGGTGAAAATCTGGCACTCTGGCACAGATTTTTTTTAGAAACAGGAAGCACCTCAGCAGCATTGCTGGGATTGTGAAATCTGTGCTAAAAAGCCTTCTGGCCAGCCACCACACCAGCCATCTTCACCCCAAATGTGCCTGATTGCAGCAATACCTCATTGCAAGTGTCTGGGTTGGGCTTTGCCATCCTTGAAAGGCTCTAATTATTATCCCTGCCCTCAGACATGTGAGGAATGCAGGCAGGCTCTGTCATGCATGGAACCCTGTTGTCCTTTCCTGGGGTGCTCTGTGTTCCAGCTGCTTGGTGCTTTGCGTGGGGAGTTGATCTGAGCTGAGCCATGGGATGGTGAAGCAAATTCTTTGTTGTCTTGGCCACACCTGATAAAAAGCATTCACATTTGTGCCATAGAAATCCTCAGTGGCATGTGGATGCAGGCAGGTCACACTGCACGTGGCCTCTAGAGAGTGACCTGTTAAGCCACTGCTGCAAAATTCCTTTAGAAAGTTGTTATTTTGGTAATCCCAGACTAGGAGTGAGTTAGCCCCATTTTGCATGGGTGGAAAGGCAGCAGGCTGAGATGGWGGCTGTATCACCAAGGTTTGGCAGCTCATGTTGCCACCTGAATGTCACCAGCTTTGAGCCTCTTCTAAAGCCCAGCTTTGTTCTACCCTCTTGTCTGCAAAGGGACATCCAGAACTGAGCTTATAAACCATCACTGCTGCTTTTCAGACAGGGAAAACCGAAGTGCACCCAGTCACAAGGTAGACAGATGCTGCATGGCAGGCACTGGCACTGTTCCCCAGTGCAAGGGGAGTGCAGTGTCAGTCATCAGCATTTTGTAGCCATCAGGGCAGAGGGAAAGCACATCACTGAATTAAGCTGCTCCTAATGCTCGCATCAGTGGCAGCATGTGGCCAGTCCAGCCTCCTGGAAGTTTTCAGGCTATGGTTATTTGCCCAGCTGGAGTCATGTGTTGCCTGAGGGAATTCAAGGTCTCCAAGCTGCTCTGTTTTCCTTTCTACAGAAACCTCCAGTCCTGTGGTAAAAGCGCGAATATTGACCTGCGTGGAAGGGATGAACGTGCCCTTGCTGGAACAAGCCATACAGGAGCAGAGGAAATACTTCAACGAGAGGGAGGAGCAGAGGGGAAACGGCACATCCTGACAGCAGCTCTGAGACCAGCCACACGCTGGTCCTTGCACTGCCATTTGCAACAAATATGTTAAAACTAAATTAGGAGGTGGGTTTGCTGTGGCGAACAGCAAAGTCACTGAGCAGGGAAACACTTGAAGACTGTGAGTCAGTGTGTGGCTGTGGATTRTCCATTCCTGCCCCAGGTGTCATCACTGAAAATAGCTCTGGGAAGCAGGTTTGTTGTTTGTTTGAAAGGGTGGTTGAGGAAAGGGAGCACTGGAGTTATACTGGTCCTTTTGTAATGCACGACCTGTATAAATCAGGAGAAGTAGTCTCTGAATCTGGAGTTAAGCAGCTCATCTTTGGCAGATGAGGGTAAAGGGCATTGGCACGAAGTTCATTAGCCCTGCTTGGCTGCGGGCCCATGAGTGTGTGTTGGGGTACCCTGACTCAGCTGCCACACAGGAACATTCCTGGCAAAACACTCACGTGTCTGGGCTAACCAAAGAAACAAGAACAAAGAATCTCTGTTTTCAGTAGCACCTGCCTCTTTGGGTAAGAACYATCCAAGAGGAGGATTAATTCTAGCTCTAAGATAAATATTTGCAGTACCCTGACAACCACCACCTGACTTTCTTCCTTGACACAATTAAATTTAAGAGACCTTAAATCGCTGTTTTTGAAATCTAAAGATTTTGTYTGAACCTAAATAAAGATAAAAAAGTAGGCAGTCTGTCTTTTATTGATTTAATCCCTCTTTCTTGCCAAGGCAAATGTGTTAGGCCCTGCACAAATCCTATAGATGATGTAAGAAAATTGCCTTCTCCTAAGTACTGGGTATGTATGGATGTGGCTGGCTTTGAAAAAGTTGCAAGAAAAGTGAGTGAAGTTACATCAGAGCACTCTGATTGAAAAACATGGTGGCGGGCCCACACAGCTGAATTAAACCATTGACAAAGGGACAGAACATCACTGAGGTCAGATGAGAATCAAATGTTTGTGCAAGGGAGAGAAGACTCTCCTGTGCTGTAGAAAGCCCCAGCCCTGAAGTGAGCTGGGCCTGTATTTTACAGGGGAATKCAGCCATCTCCAGACTTCCTGCTTGCACTCAAAGATTTCGAGCTGCTGGCTCAACAATGGGTTAAATCAGCCCTTTTTTAGGTCACCTAAAAGTTGGGGTCTGCCCTGTGGACCCACACAGCTGCAATGTCCATGCCCACACAGACATGTGAAGCCCCCAGGTCCTTCAGATGAAACTCCCTTTGCCTCTGCCTTTCCTGGTGCAATATGTAAGATTAAAATAATCTTGTCTTTGGGCAGCTATCAATGATTAATCCCCCTCAAGGACATCTCCTGGAAGGCTGACTGAGCAGCACAGCCCACGCTGGGGAGGTTCAAGGGACAATTGTGCAAGACAAAATAAAAGGGGAAAAAAACCTAAAYAAAACAAGACAAAAAAASCCCAATAAAAAWTAYGTTTTTGCTGGGTGTTTGACCTCAGCATGTCCCAGGGAACTAATTATGAACCCCCATGAAGCCCAGTAGTGCACAGATGGAGCAGAAGAGCTTCCCCTGGCCCTGTGCAGTTCATGCTGCCTTTTCCCAGGCCCCAGAGTGCCTCTTTACATCCTTTCCCCACAATTTTTGTCTTTATACCAGCACACTGCACAGCCGGGCCACAGAAAACCAACCCTGGGTGGCTCCTGTGTGGTTCTGCTCACCTGAAGCCACTCGGCCACCTCAAACCCCACCAGGCAACCCTGTCCCCCCACAGCCACCCCAGGCAGGTCCCTGAGGGGTCCCTCAAGGCTGAGGGAGCATCAAGGGGGGACCCAGACCCTGACAGCACCTCAGGGAACAGCCGGGGAGCACAAACCCCTTCCCCAAATTCACCTTTGCGTTTCCCGCTTTTTCYCCTCCCCTCAGAGCGCGGTGCCGGCTGCCCCCGCTGCCATCGCCAGGCGGAGGCAGCCCCATGGAGGCCATCCAGGAGTCCTTCCAGAAGGTGGAGAAGATTGGGGAAGGCACCTATGGCGTGGTGTACAAGGCTCGCAACAAGCGCACGGGGCAGCTGGTGGCCCTCAAAAAGATCCGCCTGGACACGTGAGTGGGGCAAAGCCCTGGGCCTGCCATGGCGCCAGGCCGGTGCCCGATATGGTG